TATGTTAAATTGTAGATGAAATGGCATTTATTTATTTGAAGTCTGATTTTTATTTTTATTTTAAACATAAACCTCAAAAAGAAAACTATAAAAGGACAAAAAGAATCTCGGGACGTCTCACACCCCTATGGAAATTAATACATTGGTTGACCAAAATTTTTAACTTGGCTTAGGACCCTAAAACTACAATATTTTAATTTTTAACTATTTTTTTTTAAAATTTCATGTTGTTGCTTTCATTCCATTTAATAATAGTAATAATCTTAGTCTTCATCTAGTCCAAAGCCAAAGGACAAAAACCTAACAACTACCACAGAATCTTTGTAAATTAATAATGACAGGATTTGCAAATAATTTGTTTAATAAAGTAAGATAGAGAAATTAATTAATGAATATTGAATATGTATAATTTTTCTATTAATCTATAGAAAGAGATTTTTCATCGATAATTGTGTATTTAACTAATTAAAGATTAATCTTATTCTTCATTTATGAGTCTACGACGACTTTCATTTAATACGTGTTCATAAATTAACCGTAACAAAATGCAAAATTAATTATGTGATTGTATAGCAAAAAATGTCCCACTTGCACTCAAATATATTGTGGGAATGGACTTAAGCCCCTATTTAATAGCAATTTTTCATCCCAAAAAATTAATTTTTTTTAGCGTTATTTTACTATTTCAACCATCATTTCTGATTTCTTTACTCAAATGTGAGATCCACTTTTCCCTCAATGATTAAAAAATCAATTCTCATAATTATTACCGAACAAGTCGTAAAAAAATATCTGAAATTTAGATCTTGTTTAAAAATGATTCTTCAACAATCACATATTTTCATACTAATTTCAACCACACATTCTATTAAAAAAGAAAAAAAATTATGTTTCACGTTTCTCATAAATTTTTCCTACTTACCACACATTTTACAAAAAAAAATTAAAAAAAAATAATAATAATAAATAAAAAATTTCACTCACACGAGCGCTCAATAAATGAACAATATCAACATACAAAGTTGTAATCTCGAGCATTTCAAAGCACTAATTTTTTTGGACATTGAGAAGACTTTTACGAGTGAATTATTCGATATTAAGAGCGTGTGAAAATGATTAGATAGCTATTCTAATAACAGGCCAAAAAGTTTATGACATTGAGAACAAATTAAAATCTTCAAGGATCATTAAAACCTAAAATTCAAAATTTGACCGTCGTTGTTACTGCATATTTATAAAAATTCGTACTTTTACAAAAAATAATTTGGTGTGCTAAAAATTTAAATTCAATAAGAAGTTAAATTTATTTCTTCATAATTATTATCAACTTTTCAACTGGTTAAAATTAATTTTAATTACATATTTTATATGACCCACAATTTATATCAATTTTTTAACCATAAATTTATCAATTTTATCAAAATCTTTTAAAAAAAAAATTTCAAAATCTTTGTCAAACATCCCATAAGTAAATGTAACATAGTTGAACAATTAAAATTTGAGAGAATTGATATTAGAGATTTTAGCTATTAGGAATTTTTTTTCAAGTTTTTAGAGATTGTCCGGAGAAATAGCTTGCTCCTTTATTATTATTATTTTTTATTTTTACACTGAAATATTGTTCAAGATAAGCTGTCGTGTAGACGGCTATGGGCACAAAATCATAGTGCATAAGTTGATCTATATATATATATATATATATATATATATATTTGTCAATTTTTCAATCTCGCTCTTCATAAATTTTATTAAAAATACGATTTTTAACTAAGTCAAACATGCGCTAAATTTTGTCCAAGTAATGTGCATTAATCTCTGTGACAACACGTCCGTAGGCACCGAGAAAAGCTAGTAATAATTTTATAACAAATTGATTGATAATAAATTTTAGTTTAAAATGATCTTCCCATCAATATTGTGTGTGCTACTAATAATCTTGGTTCAGCCTTCTCTATTAGATTATTCTCACTTTTTAGAACTTTGATCGATAGATGGGTTGTTTAAAACGATTATTATTGAAATATTTTGTTGAAGTCGGTCTTCCTCATGGTGATGAAGACGAGTTCCTTGAGCCTGTTATTTTCAATGGCGAAAACTTCTATTCTATTTTTGAATCGATGATACTCTTTGTCGAGGTTAAAAGAAAAGGATAAATTCATCAATTTACAAGTTTTTAATGGAGAAAATGGAATGTGGGATTGTTTTTTCGCAACGTTTGTTTAATCTGAGAGGGTAGTGCAAGAAAATGAATGAACATGGTTATTTTGCGCAAAACATGTAAAGAATATGGTATGCGCACTACCTTAAACAAATTGCCTTCTTTGATTAACATAAGTACCATTTAAGAAAATATTATTGAAATATTTTGCCAGTGTCGATCTTTCTCATAGTGAAGAAAACGAGTTCTTTCTTTGAGACTATCGTTTTCGATGGTGAAAACTTCCATTCTATTTTTAAGTCGACAATGCTCTGCATCGAGATTTTGTCCTAACACATTTTCTCAATTTGAACTTAGAAATTATTGTGCTAATCCAATGAATCTCTTCCTCTATCACCATGTTCAATGGATTTTATGATAAATCGCATGACAATCAAGTCAAATGTACATATAAGTAGATATGAGCTTATATCTCACGGGACCAAAAACTTAATAATTTTGCATTGGTTGTGTATTTGTTAAGTTGCATTAAAAATTATTTGACTTAATAACTAACCAAATTTTAATTGTTCTCATTGATTGTGTCATCTGTATACAAAATATACAATACACTTCATAATTCTTTTACGTAGTGGATTATAATGATAATTTGACGAGGTCAAGACCTAGCTCTTAATGGTTAGGTCATTAGGCTGTATTTGAGCCTCCTTAGATGGTAATGGTGAATTAACAAAGAAAACATAATTTTCTTACCAAAGTAATTGCTACGTAGCTAAATATTGTTGTCTATTTGGCTAAAAAGCACATTGCACATGTATAAGTTGGCGCGATAATTGTAATTATTATAGCGCATCGTATTTAACAGAATTAGATACTTTCTATGGACATAACATACGTGACAAAGTACTACTTATAATTATGGCCGTTGCACTAGATATTCCGCTACATAATTTAGCACCTTGCTAACACTTTTCCCTCGTATAAATGTGTTTATTCGAACCATTTTTTTGTTCTTGTTTCTAGGCTAAACTAAAAAATGTGTTTACAAGTTTAAAATAGTAAGATACTTTATTTAAAAGTAATCTTTTACTTTACCATAGAATAAAAAAACTTAATTACATAATTAAAAGAAGCAACCTTCTCTAACATATCTAAAATAAAAATCTACTTAAAAAGATAAATTTAGAGGGTGTTTGTGATCCATTTTTATGTAAAAATGTATTTTGAATTAATAAATTGATGGAAAATGTGTGGTTGAAAAATAAGGATAAATTTTTGATTTACGTGTAATATTATTTTAATGAAGAATGTGTGGTTGAAAAGAAAAGAGAGAAAAATACATTTTGAAAAAAATGAGTATCAAACGGGACCTTAATTTAGTTTGAAGCTTGGTCAAACACATGATTGCTTTGTGTTTTTATTAATTTAATTATAATTTGTGCAAAGTATAAGGCACAGTAGTTAGACTTTTGGACAGGAAACAACTTTTACAAGTAAGTTCAATATTTGACTTTAAGCTATTACAAGAGAGTATGTTGGGTGACGGAAGGTTCAATTATCCAGTTATTTTCATTCAACTATTGATTAATTGTACAATAATCAACAAATCACGTGTTGGGATGTGAAAGTCAATTGTCATTTCTCTCAGCTTGTTAAGGGACTTACGGCCATGTTTGGTTAAGTTAAAGGTTACCATAACTCACTTCTTAAATAATTTTTCATTCTCAAGCATCTAGATAATTTGTTTTTCCTTATTCGTAAGTAAAAGAATTTACTTATTCTACTAAATTTCTTTCAAAATTATCAACTTAATTATTCAACTTATATATAATAAAACACCTTATTTGTTTATAACTAGTGGTGAAAATGGGCCAAGTCGACTTGGCTCGATCCATCTACCCACTTTGATGAGTCGAGCTCAAGCTTGAGTATAAGTCGAGCTTGTACTTGGCTAGTGTTGAAGAGCTCAGCCCACGAACTAGTGAATTCAAGAGCCAAGTCCACGAGTTCAAGATTTTTTATATATTTTTAAAATCTTTTGATTTTTTTGTTCACATATTTGACTGGTGAATTTTAGGTGCACACGAACCATTCGTGAGCTTGACAAGCGAACCCCCGCTCAGCTTGAGCCATAACTCATCTCGTAACGAGCTCAAACCATCTATGGGCCGAGCTTTGATGAGTGGAACAAACTACTCGGTCATTTTGTTACCCCTATTTATAATTAATGTTCTAAAAAGCGTAAAATATTGCTAAATGAAATCAAGTTTCATTGTTCAATTTTTTACTAGCGTGAGCAAACCTAACGTAAAAAAGTGTGAGAATTTTAGCTAAAACTAAAATTTGTGAAGCTATGTTAAATAATAATAATAATAATAATGTCCCTATTTAGTAGAGATTAAAATTTAGATTTTATTTTGCAATAATTAATTTTAAAAATATATATTATTAAACTTACAACTTTTAATTATATATTTCATTAGTTTTTAACAAAATAATAATCTTCCAGAATTTAGATTAAATTTCTTAAAAGTTAAAACTTTTAAAACATTTCTTGAAGTAAGTCCACGTTTGGCCCTATTCTCATTCTTTTTCTCTTTCTTATTTTTAACCATACAATCTTTTTTAAAATAATATTTTACGTAAATAAATTTTTATTTTATTTTATGGGTACACGAAAGTTTACACGTTGATTGACACGGATTCACCTCCCCTTTCATATGGGGAGATCGACCCCACACATTTGAGCGTGGACCCCGACGTCTCTTATATGAGAGGTAATCGTGTAAATGTAAACTAGTGCAGATGACATAATCTTTTTTATAAGGGGTCTCCTTTAATTTTTAACTGGCTTGCAGGAAAGCTAGAGGGAGAGAGAGAGAGAGAGCAAGCAGAGCTCACCAGGTGTTTGAACTTTGGAGAGAGGAGCTGTCTTCTTCTTCCATTGATATATCCTTAGCTTGAGACCTCTGAGAAAATTCTTCAGACAGTTTTGTTGTCATTTTGATGTTTCAAAGTATTTCACTTCCGCATTCATTTCGTCGGGATCTGATTACAATTGCGTCTTGTGTTTTTTCGTGATTTCTCCTAGTTGGCTAGTTGGGTTTCTGCAAAAATTGTGTTAAAGAGTGAACCTTCTTGAATATCTTGTCGATTCTTGTTTGTGTTTATTTTTCTTGATTTGCAATTTTTCTTAACTGTATGAAGTGAATTACTAAATCCTCTGGATTTCACACTTGAATCCCAAAATCCTGTGGTATAATTTACCCTTTTACTCCTTCCCCGTTTTCCTCATCTAAAGCTCATCTTCAAGATAGGTCATTACTGGGGTTTTCTTCACCTGGTTCAATTTGATTAGGTTCCTTTCAGTTCAATCTCAAAACAGTGTACGACTCTAAGGAAAAATGAATTGAAAGAGTTCTTTTCCCTCCTTAAGATATGTGATTTTGATTTTTGAAAGCAAAGGTTTATTCTGGTGGAAGGATTTTTTTTTTTTTCAAGCTTTAATTCCTTTTGCTTTTTGGAGACTAGGGTTTGAATTGAGTCCCTTTTTCTGTAGTTTCTTATTAGATAATTAGATGGGCTAAACCAAAAAATTAACCCCTTTAATTGATTATTCTTTCTGAACATCTCTCATACTATCAGATTGATTCTATACAGTTGAAGGGAAAAAACTCCTTCGATGCATATCTCACTTTGGAAGCCATTATATTACTGTGCTGCTCTAATCTTGGACAAAAAGAGCAGAAGAAAATACGATTCTGATCATTCAACCGAAGAAATTAAGAGAAACCCTTCAATTCTGAGGAAATTGCGAGAGCATAAGCTGATGGAGGCTCTTGAAGAAGCATCTGAAGATGGATCGCTTGTTAAATCTCAAAACATGGCTTCTGATTCCATGGTCAATCAAGATGAAGTTTTGGGCCGATCCCGATCTCTTGCTCGACTAAATGCACAGGCAGAGTTCCTTAGAGCCACTGCCATTGCGGCAGAGCGCACATTCGTTTCTGGGGACTCCATTCCCGAGCTTGGTGAAGCGTTCTCGAAGTTCCTCACGATGTATCCAAAGTATCAGTTGTCGGAGAGGATTGATCAGCTGAGGGAAGATGAGTACTCGCATCTCTCTGGTGCCAATTCAAAGGTATGTCTTGACTACTGTGGATTTGGATTGTTTTCATTGCTACAAACTGTTCATTACTGGGAATCGTCAACGTTTAGCTTGTCTGAGATTACTGCAAATTTGGGAAATCACGCAATATATGGGGGTGCTGAGAAAGGCACCGTTGAACATGATATAAAGATGAGAATAATGGACTATTTGAATATCCCTGAGAATGAGTATGGCCTTGTATTTACTGTAAGTCGTGGCTCCGCCTTTAAACTGTTAGCTGAATCTTATCCATTTCAAACGAACAAAAGGTTGTTGACCATGTTTGATCATGACAGCCAGTCTGTGAATTGGATGGCTCAGAGTGCTAGAGAGAAAGGTGCCAAAGTTAATAGTGCATGGTTTAAATGGCCTTCTCTCAAGCTCTGTTCCACTGATCTAAGGAAGCAAATTTTGAACAAACGGAAGAGGAAGAAAGATTCCTCTGTTGGCCTTTTTGTGTTCCCTGTGCAGTCGAGAGTTTCAGGTACGAAGTACTCGTATCAATGGATGGCCCTGGCTCAACAGAACAACTGGCATGTTTTGCTTGATGCTGGGTCATTGGGCCCAAAGGACATGGATTCCCTTGGATTATCTTTATTTCGACCTGATTTCATCATCACTTCGTTCTACAGAGTGTTTGGCTATGACCCGACAGGATTTGGATGTCTTTTAATCAAGAAATCTGTGATGTCAAGCCTTCAGAATCAGTCTGGACATGCTGGGTCGGGTATAGTGAAAATTACTCCCGTGTTTCCTTTGTACTTGAGTGATTCAATGGATAATTTTCCGGGATTTGTTGAGGACAAAGAAGTCTGCAGGAATGAAGTTAACACGGAAACTCGTCCTGGAACTCAGTTGCCTGCCTTTTCCGGTGTGTACACATCAGCGCAGGTGAGGGATGTATTTGAAAGTGAGATGGAGCACGATAACAGTTCTGATAGGGATGGGGCGAGCACTATATTTGAGGAAACTGAGAGTATTTCTGTTGGGGAGGTGATGAAGAGCCCCGTTTTTAGTGAAGATGAATCATCGGACAACTCACTATGGATTGATTTAGGTCAGAGTCCACTCGGTTCTGATAAAGCTGGTCATTCTAACAAGCTCAATGTGGCCTCTCCATTGCCGCCAGATTGGTTTGCTGGCAGAAATCCTCGTAAGCAAATTTCTCCAAAAGCATTAAAGCTATCAAGTAGCCCGATGTTTGACAAGGAATTGAATACAGGACATCATGAAGACCACCATGTATTATCATTTGATGCAGCTGTTAGATCAGCATCTCAAGAATTGGACCATTTCAAGGAGATTCCTGAAGAAGAACAAATTACTGAAAGGAATGAGGTTTCGAGAGAATGTAGAACTCCAGTCTATCATAATTTTTCTGAAATTGAAGAAGAACCCGATACCAACAAACCACTTAATTCTGCTGTGAAGGGATACGGTCCCAACAATTTGTCTTCCGCTTCTAATCATAGAAGCATTCAGAACGGCTCAGCTCCTGAGATATTCCCCGACACGAAGGAAAGTGCGATAAGACGAGAGACAGAAGGTGAGTTTAGGTTGCTGGAAAGGAGAGAAAGAAGTAGAATATCTGGTTGTAGATTCTTTGGCATAGAAGAGACGGAGCATCTTGGAAGCAGGGAAAGAAGGGTATCCTTTAGCACAGAAGATAATAACAGAGCTCGCTTAAGCCCGACTCTGGAGCCTGGAGAAATATCAGTCACGAGCCTCGACGATGAGGACGACATTAGTAATGGGGAATATGGTGATGAACAAGAGTTGGACAGGAATGAACCTGAGTTGATCTGTAAGCATCTTGATCACATAAACATGTTGGGTCTCAACAAGACAACTTCTCGACTTCGTTTCCTGATTAATTGGCTCGTAACTTCATTGCTTCAATTAAGATTCCCGGGTTCAAACGGAAAGGACAGTGTACCACTTGTTCAGATCTATGGCCCGAAGATTAAGTACGAAAGAGGTGCAGCTGTTGCATTCAATGTGAGGGACAGAAACCAGGGTCTGATTAGTCCGGAAATTGTCCTGAAGCTGGCTGAGTCAGATGGTATCTCTCTTGGTGTTGGCATCCTTAGTCACATACGGATTCTAGATAGTTCCAAACAGCAACGAGGATCTTTGAGTCTTGACAATACATCCCTTTGCAAGCCAATGGAAAATGGCAGACACGATGGTAAAAGCGGATTCATCAGAGTTGAGGTTGTCACTGCCTCTCTTGGCTTCTTGTCCAATTTCGATGATGTTTATGAGTTGTGGGCATTCGTGGCTAAATTTCTTGACCCAGCCTTTGTCAAAGGGAGAGTCCTTGCTCCTGTTGCAGAAGAGGTGGAAGCATGAGGCCAAAAACCTGTGCTAATCTTCCATATTTCCTTTCCGCATTACAAGGGGAAGATGCAGAGATATATTGCCAGTCAATGGTTCAATATCAGGGGCAGAAGGTTCAATATCAGGTGCAGACGGACGATTCAAGTGCAAGAATAGATTCCTTTTGCCCCTCCTGCCTCTTCTCCTCCTCAAGTAGATGGCTCGTTCGTTCTTGTTTTTATTTGCTTGGTTTTTTTTATTTCCTCTTTTACCTTCTGGCGCCTGTGGAGTTGGTTATATAAATTTATTGTCTCAAAAGTAATGAAGAATTTGAGCAGATATAAATGCGTACAAGAGAGTGTTATTTACCAAATCTACTTTAAGAAAATCATTTTATTTTGCTTGCGTAAGGTATACATTCTCTCTTTTTAGAATCTTACCCCTGGAGCAGAAGCATTGTCAATTAGTTTACTCATTTTGGAAGAACGAATAGCAAGGTGGAAGTTTTGAGATTGTGAAAGGTATCTCCTAGTTCCAAGGTCTATACTTTGCGGAATGTAAGAAATGATTAAATTCGATCGAACTGCTCTAAACTTTTACTTCTATTGCCATTATTGTTTTCTTTTAATTTTTTACATGAAATACCAGTTGCGGACATCATCATGTTATCTCATTCCGCATTCTAGTTCTCATAGTTTAGATTTTAAGATGTTAGCTTCGTTTTAGACTCTCCATTATTGACATGTTTGATATGCTTAAACGCGACAGCTGACAAATATATGAACACAGATGCTTACATTTTATGACGTTCTAATGCTGCTATTACTTACATGCACTTTGTTTTCGACACAATTTTTTTTACTTGAGCTTGCAAGGCACTGCTTGTTTTTGAATAATGCTATTCATCCTTAGTTGTGATCACCGGTCTAGTCCAAGTATCACACGTTGAATTTTTAAAGATTTTCTTTGAAGAGTTTGATTTGCCAGCAAATGTTTCAATCAGGTTCCTATTCATTCATCATGCATTACCAAACTTTATCTTGTCTGTCTTCATTTTTAGTCAAAGGATATTGTTGTATTGATAATTGATTAATTCAGCCACTCTGAAAATGACTTCCATTTTCACTCACAATTTCTGGCCAATAATCCCATAGGAATTTTGCTTTAACATCAAAGAATAGACGGTGTGTTTGATTATAAGCATGTAATTTGTATTAAAAATAAATAAATTTTAGACAATTGATTGTATGGAAAGTATTAATTAATTGTGTTTGATTGGTTTAATTTTCAACATAGAAAATGTTATACTTGTCCATATTATATTGGTGGATAGATGAGACAGAGGGTAGATGAAAAAGAGTGTATTGTCCAGAAAATAAAAACTTATCCTCACCCCCCCAAAAATAAATAAATAAATAAAAAATCATTTTTATTGTTTTTAAGGAAAAATTGTTACGTGATCAACTTTTTAAAAATATTTTTCATGAAAAATGTCAATCAAATATTCTAAAAGTAAAACTCCGATGAAAAATGACACTTTCCATATCATAAGGAGCATTTTAGTTTGTAAAATTAGATGGGAACATAAAGTACAATAAAGTAAGATTTTAGCTACTTGTGTTCTTATTCATATTGTTTAGCCAACTACATGAACTTAGATAGGAAACTAGAGTACAATCAATAAAGTTTTTCTTTTTCTTGTTTATGCTATTTAGCCAAGTCCATCTCACCTTGTTATTCATTGAAGTCAGATCAATCGATGCAAATCTACAGAAATACAACGCGAGGACAGATATCCCAACAATTTGCTACCACTGAGAAACTAATACTCTAAAATTGAACCCGCTTTTCGAGTTTCACAACAAGCACTTTTTTCTTTCTTTTAATTAAAATCATATTTTGGAATTCGATTTTCTCTAGTGGATTCACCAGTTGTTGACACTACCCAGGCAAAACGGGGAGATTTTTATAAATGGCCTACTACTATTCATTTTTGGTAAAATGTCAATAATACCCTTAATGAAATAATTTATTATATATTGCACAAGATATCCTTAATTTATTGGGATAGTCTTAAATTCTTCTATTTCTCTCATTTCGAGTTTTAATATATAATTTCATCCTTTGATCTAATAAATTAGCATAATCTGTAATATAATTATCATGTAATTTACTAAGATTATCAAATTCCTTCGATAATATATCCATAATTTCTAATTGAGAATAAATATTTTCTATTTTTTCCATTAATCTATCTAACAGATTATCTAATCCTTTAATTGTATAACCTGGCATTATTCAAATAATTCCTTGCAAACTTTATGAATAATAACATATTTAGACAAGTTTTTTGCAAACATAAACAATAATAATCCCTACAATTCTTTCAAGATATTAGAAGAATTCTTTCTAAATTTAACAAAGACAATAATTTTACCTTACTTTTGATCTTAAATCTGTATTCTTAGAACCGAGTGACCTTCAGGCTCTGAATCTGCAAACTGCTCCCTTAAACGGCCTCTTGCCTCAATGGGAATTCTGCTATTTCAGCTTCTTGCCCTCACTGTATCTTTTCTTAGAATTAAGAATAGAGATCTTAAGTAAAGAAAATTCTCTCTTTGTTAAAGTAAGAAAGAGATTATCTTCTTCAATCTATCAAGAATCTATGGGATAGTAAGTTTAGAAACTCATATCTTTCTGATATCAAAAGATTGAGATTTTATTTATAATGATTTATACAAGATTTATATTGTACACAAGGGGTTTTCAGAAAAACTGGTTT